GGGTTCTTTGATATGCTGAATGGTCCGTGTAACACTTATCAATTCAAAAAAAAATTTCACCAAATAATTAAAATTTTAAAATTATAAACTTCGTTTTAAAATTTAATACTGTAGATATTTAAGCAAACTTTAAAATACTAAACTGAACGTACAGTTTTGATCATTTCGCTTTTTGAAAGTTTGATTTTTTTTATTTTTGATTAAAATATAGGAAAGGGAGAAAGGACTAAAAAGTGGATACCTGTTACAAGTGCGAAACGGAATAAGAATGGAAGGAAACGAAATGAAATTTACCCAAACAAATCAAAATGAAAACAATATATTCTGAAAAACTAAATATAATAAAAAATATAAAACAAGAGGCTAACTTGTGGCCTACCAAATTACTTATTACCGTGTTTGTAATAACATGAGCAACACGACGGGTGCCACACGTGGAACAGGATCTGCTTACCCTTCCGGAGCACCTGAGATCACCCCCAGTTTTGGTGGGATTCGTGTTGCTCAGTCTTTAGTTTTCTATGTTGTGTTTTGTGTACTAATGTTTGTCAATTGGTCTTTTTATTTTTTAGCCATGGCGTTGTCTGTTTATTTTCGACATATGAGTTTGAATGTCCCTCTGTTATCTTTCGCCCCTCTTTTGTTTGATCTACAGGGTGAAAAAGAGAAATATGTTTCTTTAAGTCTAAAAAATAATTAGTAAGACCTGATTTTTACACACTTTGATTATCTAACTAAATGAACAATATGCAGAAATTACTTGCCGACTTTGTGATTACTGCTATTTTTCAATAGCGAATAAAAGGAAACGGGATATTCGATTTTTGAAATAAGGGATAGTTCCGTTTTTGTTATTTGCACTTTTGTAAGTTATCTTGCGACAATCAACTTTGAGCAAAATACAAGTACGCAGCCACGTCCAGTCAGAATGGGGCGTGTAGGGAGAATTCGACGCTCTCTGCACGTTACGAACCGTTAAAACAACTCCTTGAGTAGTTCGTTGATTTCGTAATTTCTGTCCCTATCCAATAAACCCTCATTTCCCAGTGGCGATCTAAATTTGCCGAACTTCATCCTGAACGGACTCTATTACAGGACCTACTTATTGTATTTATTGTTAATTTTGTTATCGTCCTGAACATGCATGAAATATTTGCAACTGGCAACCAACAATCAATCATTTAAAATAGGCCGTTTATAAATAAATTATAAAGAAACTCAGGTTTCAACTCCCTCGGGCAAAGTTCCCCTTATATGGATTTTTTCCATAACCTCTTTAATTGTTTCGGGACTTATACTTGCTTGGCTTCCAAATATTCAGCTTTGAGCGTTCCGGATGTAGGTAAATACAGAAAAGTACTTCGGACGTATGCAGTCGTGTTGTTTAAATTTTTATTGGATATTCCAATTACTTCAAATGTTATTGTCAATGTGAAATAGTACATGGGCGGATTAAGGGTTTTGTTACTGTGATCTAATTTATTGCAGGGAGTTGTCTATTAGTAGAAAATTTGTTTTTATATTATTTTTTTTCCTGATTTTTCACTGCCATTCCTAAGTTTTCTTATCCCTATTTTTAAAACTCATGAGTTCGCCTCTGTAATATGTACCAATCATTTTATTATTGACTGTAAATACAAAGTTAGCACGAGATTGAATTGAAAAGCCTTTGAATCTCCAGTACTCGGTGATAAAGACCGTTTTAAAAAGCACCCAGAGATTTCTTATATATCGTTATACTGCAATGTTATTGTAAAATATTTTCAGTACAGAAATTTAACATTAAATCGAAAAGGGTTAAATTTGACCAATATTTAACTATATTTTGTGACTTCATTGGAATATATAAGATTGTTCCGTACAGTGAACGTTTCCGTTCCGGAACTATTTTCCTTTACTCCATCAATCACTGCCACCGGCTTTCGAAATTCGTTCCAAAATTTGGAACGAATATCTACGCAAATATATTTTCTCAGAACCATTAGTTACCGGCTTGAAAAACGTCAATTTTATAATGTCTTTATAAAATTTAAACCACTTTTCCTAGATATAAAAAATGAGCATTAAATTTACGCACAACGACAGGACTTTTTTTTATGTATGTATCCTTATCTACGCTATCCTCCCCAACCCTTTCGAAAGTAAATATGGAGGGAAATTTTTAAGTGAATGATTGTGAATCAGATATAGATTTAATATATGTTAGGCGTAAGTCCAAAGGAAAAACAAGCCCAAACGCTGCAACATTTACTTGACCAGGAACAAATGATTTAAATTTGATTTTGCGGTTGTCAACGGAGAAAGCTTAAGAGTGACATAAACTTCAACGTGTTGAAGGCGGTCATTACAAAGTAGAAGTACCAATAAAGTTCTGCAAGCCTTTCCTTTTCTCACACAACATTATGAACATAAATGGAAATCTTTAACCCATTCATAGGCGGATCCAGCCCCCGGGCAAATTTTGGTTTATGTAGGGAATCACTGAAGCATGCCTGGAGCAGCCCCCTCCCCCTTTTTTCGGTCAGTCAGTGCCCCCCTTTATAAAAAGTTCTGGATCCGCCACTGCCATTGTTACATTACTCCAGTAAATTGACCCTATATAATTTTTTGACGTTCCAAAAAAAGCAGCCCAGACCTGTGTTTACCTTGATCAGAATGAGAAAACAAGGGATCATATTTCTCTTGAGGGATTGTCTTTCAGACAAATGGGTTATTTTCCTGTGCATGCGGTAGAAAAGAAAAAAAACTAAGCGTTTTAACTTAAAAGGGGGTTAGGGAATTCCTTACATTTGAAATAACCTTTTTAAAGAGGGACCGGTCCTCTTATTTTCAATAAATAAAGTAAATTAATGATGTCTATGAATACAATACCAGATTGAAGTATGGTTCTGTGGGAAAAGTTTTTGCAAATAATATAAATATGTTCCCTTTTCACTCTTTCGTACTTTCACTATGATAAGACATTTCAGTATGAAATCTCAGTATGAATTAAGAGGTTGTCAGTTAGATTGCAACCCTACAATTTTACATATATAAACTTAGTATGCATCATGAACATATAATAGTGATACACTTAGAGACCAATATGCAGTCTTTTAACTTCACACATTTGTGACTAATTACCAAATGGCAATGTTAACCTTCTCTTCAATATGTTAATACATGGTGAGATTCAGCATATCAAAGAACCAGAAGAATTTAATTTTTGATGAAAACCAACTAAGTTTAGTTTTGTTTTCATCACCTAATTCCTAAATACAAATGTACTAGTAGATAAGACAATAACCCCCAAAATCTATCTCAACCTTCATTTTGTGGTATGGAACCTTGTGGTATTATTTCATACAGATCCTTCACTTATACTTTAGTTATTGTCTGGAAACTAAATGTTTTCTGATGATGACATTTATCGATGATCACCATACCATTATACAGCCACAAAATTTTTTAGCAGTTGTATAGAAAAATTATATATGCAGTTTAAATTTATGTGACTTCTGAGAAGGAAAACAAACCTGCTCCCCCCCCCCCCCCCTTTTTAATTGATGAATGGTAGGTGTAATAGTGACAGTCCCAATAATTATGAAACCTATTCTCGTTCAAGCATTTTACCTAGACACCTATGAAATAATAAGGGGCCCCGCCGAATGGCGGTCGCCATATAGTAGTCTGTCCATCCGTCTGTAACAAATTGTGTCCGCTCTATATCTAGAGAACCCTTATAATTTCATACTTTATACATGACATGTGTATTAACCAACACCAGAGGGTGTGTCATAATGTTTGTATAACTTCCTAGGTCAAAGGTCAAGGTCAAAAACTTTGGTCTTAAATGACAACCCCATGTCCTATGGTAAAGATCGTGTCCACTCTATATCTTGAGAACCGTTATGATTTCAAAGTTTATACTTGACATGTGTATTAGCCAACACAAAAGGGTGTGTCGTAATGAATGTACAACTTCCTAGGTCAAAGGTCAAGGTCAAAAACTTTGGTTTCAGTTGAAAACTCTATGTCCTATAGTAAAGATACAAATTTTTTACCACACGTTATTTACAGCGGGGCCCACAGAGCTGGCTCCCATCTCAATGATATCTAGTTCTTTCAAGTTCTGAACCTTGCTGCATTAGTTTTTATTATTCTATTTTTATTTCTGGTCATCAAAAAAATTATCTTGACCCCTTCTCTCTTACATGTACTCTTTACTTTTACTGCACATTAACCAATATCAATTATTTAATATACACGATTGGGGACTGGGTTTTAAGCTAACAGATACCTTGGTAGCTGTTACACCCAAATTATGTCCTGATACTCTTGGCATTAACAATAATTGTTATTGTAGTTGTGTGCATTAAACCAGTGATGAATATATGTACTGTAAATCAATTGCTACTATTTCAGGTTGAAAAGGACTGTGGTCCAATGTCCTGTTTGTCACTGCTAAATTATTGTCTCACTAGCAACTAAATCATCTCATAATTTTTATTCAGTAGGCAAACAAAAACTTGAAGCTACATGGAGCCTGAATTTCACATCTGGTAAAATATGCCATATTGATTTTAACATCAAATTAAGGACATAAAATAATTGTCATTGTAGTAATAAAGGTAATCTTATGCATAAAATCTACCATTTAATCAAAAGCGAACATGATGTACCCATTTTCATGATTTTGAGATCCAGTTAATCCTGTTTGCACAATAATAATTCATTTGCAAGATAACTTTTATTACTGTTTTCTTTTTGTTGATAGCAGATCTTTATCTTTTGAGCTAATTTTAATATATTCACACTTTTCGAAGAATGGACAATTGAAAGTTAAAACTTGTGTGTTTTGGAAAACTGTATGTAACTTAAGTCTTGTTTTTGTGTTGTTGGAATGCTGTCCAATGGACCTTTACCCAACATCTCCTTGTATTCATATGCTTAAATCTTTGGAAAAAAGTTAAATTAGAGTTTTATTTTCATACTGCTTGGCAAAAACTGAGAAAAAAATATTCTTTATTTCTTTTTTAATTATTAACAACAATATGTTCATGATAAAATTATGAAGACATACAATTTTTTCAAAACAATTAATAAAATGGAAATTGATATTAAAAAATGCACACAAAGTTTCATGCGCAACTGGTATGCACTCCAATTCACTCATTGAAACATGAATGATCCTTGTTTGAGATTGCATTAGTCACTGTCTTGTCTGAAAGTTTTTTGAAAGTGTGAGTCTATTCCATTTGTGTATATAATCTACAGGCTTTCAATGCTTCTCATGTAACTTGATAATCTTCCAAAGATCAGGTTGACATCATTGTGATCTGAAAATATAATAACACATTTTTTTTTACTTTGTAACTTCTGGTTTTGATGTAGGTAAGGGACGTTATATGGTATGCCATTGTTTTCCCATCCATCCATTCAAATGTCAACATTTTGTTCAATATCTCAAAGGAGAAGTGGTTAAAAGGTTATTATTTGGCCCAAATATTACTTCAAATTAAAAAGTTACCCTAAATATTTTAAAATTTGTCCAAACTAGACTAAGGTACAAGGTATTCAGAAAATATTGACTTTAAAGTTTAAAGGGCCAAGTGAGCTTTTCTCATCATTTGGCGTCCATCGTCTTTAACTTTTACAAAAATGTGTCCAATGACCCCGCCTGCCAACCAACATGGCCGACATGGCTAAAAATAGAACATAGGGGTAAAATGCAGTTTTTGTCTTATATCTCTGAAACTAAAGCATTTAGAGCAAATCTGACAAGGGTAAAATTATTCATCAGGTTAAGATCTATCTGCCTTAAATTACTTAGTCGAATCAGACAACCGGTTGTTGGGTTGCTGCCCTTAAATTGGTAATTTTAAGGAAATTTTGCAGTTTTTGGTTATTATCTTGAATATTAATATAGATAGATATAAACTGTAAACAGCAATAATGTTCAGCAAACTAAGATTTACAAATAAATCAACATGACCAAAATTTTCAATTGACCCCTTAAGGAGTTATTGCCCTTTATAGTAAATTTTTAACAATTTTTTGTAAATTTTTGTAATATTTTACAAAAATCTTCTCCTCTAAAACTACTGGGCCAAATTTAACCAAACTTGGCCACAATCATCATAAGGGGATCTAGTTTATAAAATGTGTCTGATGACCCTGCGTGCCAACCAACATGGCTGACATGGCTAAAAATAGAACATAGGGGTAAAATGCAGTTTTGGCTTATATCTCTGAAACTAAAGCATTTAGAGCAAATCTGACAGGATAAAAATGTTCATCAGAATAAGATTTATCTACCCAGAAATTTTTGGTTGAATCAGACAACCCGTTGTTGGTTTGCTGCCACTGAATTGGTAATTTTAAGGAAATTTTGCAGTTTTTGGTTATTTATATCTTGAATATTATTATAGATAGATATAAAACTGTAAACAGCAATTATGTTCAGCAAAGTAAGATCTACAAATAAGTCAACATGACCAAAATTTTCAATTGACACCTTAAGGAGTTATTGCCCTTTATAGTTAATTTTTAACAATTTGTTTTCGTAAATTTTTGCAATCTTTTACAAAAATCTTCTACACTTAATCTACTGAGCAAAAAAGAATTAACCTTAGCCACAATTTTCAATAGGGTATCTTGATTGAAAAATATATCCGATGACCCTGCCATCCAACCAACATGGCCACCATGGCTAAAAATAGAACATAGGGATGTACTATACAAGTCTAAGGGAAAATTGTAAAAAAACCAATTTCAAATGGTCACAATTGAAAACTAATTTAAATAATAAGGGGTCTTCAGTAACTATTGTAAGTCTAGTTACTAGTGGGATGACCTGCTTTTAATTTAATTACTGGGCCAAATTAATCCAAACTTGGCCTCAATCATTATTAGGATATCTAATACTATTTATTATGATTTAAACCTTATTTTACATGATTTCCAAAACCACAGTAGATACAATGTACAGGTGAGCGACACAGGCTCTTGAGAGCCTCCAGTTTTAACATTTAACGAGTAACCATAGCAACAAACTTGACGAAATTTGTATATTTTGTAAAATTTCTTGTTTTCCTTGTTCTTGGTAATTTTTTTTTAGTATATTTTAGATTGGCAAAGTATGTGCTCATCCAAGAAACAACTTTATATTTAGTGATATTATGTCATGTATGTCAATAGTTATAATAAAGGTTTTCTTAAATTATTTTGTTGTTTATTGACTGCGCTTGATGTTTCAATAATGGAAATAACAATGGAAAACTGCATAAATTCTACATTTGTCCTCGTTTTCATGACAACTTTATATACAATGAAGTAATTGTGACGTCATCAGATTAAAAAAATCTTATGTTTATTATTCATATTTCTTATATCTACGCATTTCCAAACATCATGTGCCTTTTTGGAATACTTGTCAACAATTTAATTTTTTTTGGATCAAAAACAGGCCTTTAATAATGCCCCTTCTCCTTTGCTTTGAACAATTTCTCATGAAATTTTAACACAACATTTGGATTTAGTTCCCTTTTGATTTTGTTTTTTGGAGTCTGTCGTTCAAAAGTTGTGGGACCTATCAGATTTAGGGTAATTTCTCACATATTAAGCTTGAGTTTGCTTAGAGTATATACTCTCAGATCTGTACTGAAGTGTCTTTTAGTTGTTTGGATGTACAAGTACCCAGCTATGTCCACTCTGTGTTTTTGTTAAATGTATTTCTATTTGTATCCATCTGAAGAGTTAAGACTTTTTCGACTGATTTTTATAGTTTGTTGTTACACCACTGTCCCAGGTTAGGGGTGGGTTGGGCACCAGCAAATATGTTTAACCCCCCCACATTCTGTATGTACGTGCCTGTCCCAAGTCAGAAGCCTGTAATTCAGTGGTTGGTTAGTGTGATACATATTTGTTTTTCTTTCATTATTTTACACATAAATTAGGCCGTTAGTTTTCTCGTTTGAATTGTTTTACATTTGTCATTTCTGGGTCTTTTATAGCTCTCTGTGTGGCATGGGCTTTGCTCATTGTTTAAGGACGTACGGTGACCTACTGTAGGCTATAGTTGTTAATTTCTGTCATTTGGTCTCTTGTTGGAAGAGTTGTCTCATATAATTGGCAATCATACATCACATTCTTTTTTTATATTCACAGTTTATAGCATAAACCATGTAGTTGTATCTCACAATCTGGTCATATAATTAATATCACCATAGTTACTATAAGTAGTGTTTAGAAAAACGTTTGTGAGTATTTGTTTTAATATATAATTTGGTCCTGTATTTACTCAAATATACCTAGTAAAAATTTAATTTTGTAAACAAACCAATTTATAACTTTCATAGAAAATATACTTACAGTGTACCAATCAATTGATTCATATTGAAGCTACATGTACACTGTATATGTAAATTTTCTCAAAGTTTCCTTCTGTCTGATTTCAAGTTTTAACAATTACTGTTAAAATCTCCAAGGAAACTAAATCAATAATCATGTGAAAAGTTCTTCTGGTTGATGTAGCTGAAAGTAATAATGAAATAATAAAATGAGTATAACTAAAAATAATGTCAACTTTGTGTTGAAATGCAAGGACCTGTATTATTTAACATATAAAAAGTTTGAAAAATAGGGGGAGGGGAGTATAATTGACAATGAAAAACTGAATGCAACCTTTTTTATAATTCTTTCACATGCATCAATCTGTAATATCTTACTATCATCATTGATCATAATTAAAGAAATATATTGAGTGTTTAAGTGTCACATACATTTGAAACTATAAAATAAATGTCATTGTTAATTGCTTGTGTTAAAAAATAAGGCTTCTCATCAAACTCAGTTTTCATTTTGACAGTTTGAACATTATTATTAAGCATTAATATTACATATGGAACTATTCAAAATGAGAAGCCACCTTATTTACAAACATTGTTTTAAGAACAATGAAAGTAATCATTTTTATTCCATGTGACAGCGAGACGAGATAATTAAATAGTATTTTTTTATAATTTGACAAAGTAATTAATCCATGCAAATAAAAAATTTATAAAAATAAACCAATACCTAATAAAAACTTTTTGTTTTATTCATTCTGATTCAATCTTAGCACTGTGCTGTTATCTATTGTGTCACCATCTGTAAGATAAAAAGAAAAACCTTAGAATTGATTATTGTCATCCTGGAATTAAAGTCAATTTTAAAAGTGTATTTTTTTGCAGGAATAAATTCTCTCATTTTGGTTCAGTAAATATTTTTGTAACTTAATATATACATTATGTAGATATGATATTGTTGAAAGTATAGTATCTTCAGGGACCTGTATAGTGAACATTTTAGTAATATGCATGTAAAATATTTCTCTATTGATTATGAGAGAAGTTGGAAGTAATAAGAACTGAGTGGCGGATCCAGAAATTTTCATAAGTGGGGCCCCACTGACTACCTAAGAGGGGGCCCGCTCCGGTCATGCTTCAGTGATTCTCTGTATATCAACCAAATTTTTCTAAGAAAAGGGGGGCCCCCCTCTATATGAACTACATGTATGGAACTTAAGAGTTACACAAACATAAATTTCAAAAAGTAAAGAATAGTCTTTAAAATCAGATACTGTATGCACCATTTTTTATTTCAATTTGAGTAAATTGCTTAATGCTGCATAAAAATCATTAAAGTGCTATTAGAACATTAACAAACTGATTAACTTGATTTAAAATTTTATTTTAGCAATACCTTATCAGCATAATCAGGCTTATATACATTTGTACATGTAGATGGGTTTATACATTCTATATCTAAATTCTAAAACGACATAATATTGAGTACATGATAACAAACAAACAAAAATCATTAAAATGGTCTAGTTTTTTTTTGTGCTAGAATTATGCTTCAGGGCTGGACAAAATATTAAATATAACATGAGAATTTAGATATTGATTCAAGCTCTTTCCTATTCCAGAACTTTTATGTTAAAGATAGAAACTTATAAAGGGCTCAAAAACATAAAGATTGTACTTTTTTTTAGGGGAGGGGGGGATGGGTGGACATTTATAATTGTACATGTATAGTTATAAATTTACTGGATAATACATTAACAAAAAAATATTCTTGAAAAAGTAGTAAATTGTCATACAGAAATAAAATAGCTCCCATGCAGACCATTGTAAATTCATACATATAATAAAGGCAAAATGCAATACAATTTTAGTATACAATATATGTGTGTTACATATATTATTTTTCAAATTATAATCCATGAAATTATACCTGAAGTGAGTTTTTGAGAAGTTCAGATTGGTATATAAAAGAAGTTTTGATACTAGTTGGAAACCCTAACTCAACTTAGTCAATTTTGCTAAACCAACCTGTTTGAGGCCTTGTGTCAATTTGACATTATTTGGAAACTCTTCCCCCTTTCTATAAAAAAATCCAAAAATCCCTGCATGGAGTCCAATTTTGTCTTTTTATAAAATATCTTGAATTCCATAAGGAGCAGCTTCTCTGGAAAATTTGAGTCCTGACAACATTTTTTTTTTCTATTTTGTATATGTATTTGATTATTTTACACCAGTTTGATAAAATTAGGGTTGAGGTATTGATAAATTGTGAATACTGTGAGAGGTCTGCAAACGACTTTTATTTGCTGATGATTGGGTGCCAGTATATTAAAGGGATGAATAATTATTATCAACAGTTCAAGTCCGAACTTTCTTTCAAAATGCAGAAATGAATTTATATTTCTCCAGTAACGAAGATAATTTATTTTGCAAAGTTGATCGAGTTTTCAAGCCAGAAATGGTTTCTTTGACGTGGCGATACAGAAATTTCAAAAACTTTGATTTTGTAATATTATTTGGATTGAGTTTGTTTTACTTACTTTGATTGTGTTTGTCCTCATTTACTGGTAAAGTTGGTAAAAAATATCCTTTCATCAATATGCAGCCATATTTGCTTCAGTAGCAACGAAAGGTCAATCCGGGTCAAACAGCTTGAAGATCGGATTACGAAAAAAGCCGAAGGCAGTGATTAGTGTAGAGTAGTATGCCTCTCATGTTTTTTCATTTTTCATGAATATTATATATTAAGCAAAGGGCGTTGAGTTATAGCCCTTTATTGATGGAAGTGTCTTATATTCGCTCATGAGATTATTAGAACTGTTACATTTCCATAGGAGTATTTTTTTTTAAAAATTGTGTGTGTGGAATATAATTCATGATCAGACTGTAAGTGAACGTACATTTTTCTACTTGCTCACGAAGATTGCTTTTGCATCTTGTTCAAAATTATCTTTACATATCTGTAAAACAACTCACAACACAACATCTACTCACAACACTATATCTAGAGTACCGTTGTATTCACTACCGGGCGAACGGTTCATCGAAGTTGGACTTTGGACTCTTACGCATTTAAGTGCCTACCGATAATGAATGTCAAAGATCAGATTAGTCGTTTTGATCTGCCGCATGGGGAACAATAAAAACGTTTATCTGTTGAAAAACTTATAAAGGATAGACATCTTAGTAAGATTCGGTCACTATCTATGGCAGAGCTTCGAGCTTTTAATAAGCATTTCCATAAAAATATTATGATAAATGAGACGAAAACTTTATTACCAGACTTTAGTGATAGTATTATATCAGAGGTCAGTCACTACGTATCGAACGCATTAAGCAACGAGAGTCAAAGGGTCTTTGGTGTATTGAAACGTAGTCGCAAGTAAGCTCCAATATCATCCAAATTGAGCCGAGAACAAGACAATGCTAGTGCTGTACCAAAGCTAGTCACGATAGCTAATGATGACCTAGATGATCAAATACATAATGAACTATCTGACTCGTTGGTTAATCTTTGTCTCACTCAAAACCAACCGATAGACAAATGCGAAAACTTTCTTTTTCTTATCCGCTAGTTTTTTATAACTAAACACGACATTTACAATGAAAATCAGTACCGATCAAGATTTAATCATTATTCTTTTTTGCCTTTGGAAATGTTCTCTGGCATCCTTTCAGTTGCTTCGACGTTTTACATTTGCACTAATCGGCATCTAATTTTCGCAACAAAAACCAAGGCGCCAACATTTCATTTGCGCCAATTTACAATGATAACATGTTATATCACTTCCGTCTGCCATCAGCCCAAACAACTAACCAATGAAGCGGATAATAAATTAAATAAAAATGTTTATATTTTGACGCAAATGAAAACTTTTTTTGACGCACATGAAAGCTATCTGTTTTACGTAAATGTAATACGCCAATCGCATATTATATAAATACTGTGGCTTTTTACTGCAGAAATGAAGACTCTTATCATATGGGTGATCTGCAGCACTCTACCACTACGCCAGGCTTCAGAGCAGACAGAATGTAAGTTCAAACAAGGATGTACATGTTACCATGTGAATCCCTACTTTGATGGTTTACCTGTCTTTTAAATAATTGCAAAGACACCCTTATATCACATTTTCGATTAAAATGCAATTTGCCGCATTATAAGTATAGAAGGAGTAAAATAACAAAAATACCGAAAATTCAAATCTAAAAGTCCCTAATCAAATGGCAAAATCAAAAGCTCAAACACATCAAACGAATGAAAAACAACTGTCATATTCCTGACTTGTAGAAAATGGTGGTTTAAACCTGGTTTTATAGCAAGCTATACCTCTCACTTGTATGAGAGTCGCATTAAATTTCAATTCATAAGATTTATAAATATATGTCACAACTTTTAAATTGATGATTTCTCTGGAATTATAAATGCTACATATATCATGTTATTCCCTATTAAGATGTTCTTCAACAAGTTCTAAATGCATACCAATTTTCATCAAAAACCAGCATATTGCTCAATTTAGTACATGTATACTTTTCTTAAAGGTTTAACAGCTTGCTGTTCGGTGTGACCCAAGGCTCCGTGTTGAAGGCCGTACTTTGGCCTATAAATGTTTACTTTTACAAATTGTGACTTGGATGGAGAGTTGTCTCATTGGCACTCATACCACATCTTCTTATTTCTATAAACCTTTGGCGAGGTTCCTGGCATATGAACATCAGCTGTCGCCCTCTTGAATTCGACCAGTGGAAAAACAAAAGGTGTTCGCAATAACTTAAAGCAAACTCGAATGCTTACCCTTCGATCGATTGATGTACTTCAAGGTTTATCTTATACAGTCACGTCACAAACAGTACGGGGTCGGTGACGCTACTGATAGAATTGGTCCTTTAGAGTATCATCAGCTTGAACGTCAGTGGTTTAGTACTGGTATAATTAAATGATATATTCATACAATTTTGTATAATGAATTTTCATGTTACAAAAAAACGTTTAGTATTTTACTATTTTGAACAGATTGTAAAGCAATGTTGGTAAATTCATTATTCATACGCTAAAATGAATTCAACGTCTTGCTGGTCATTGGTTGATTTCACATTGTTTATATGTTGTTATCCACACACTTTGTGTAAGATTTTAATGATATTAACCAGTTTTAAGTAATTCCTGAAACGGTTTATTGTATCAAATTAAGTGTGTAACTCTTTTAGGCAAAGTTAACATTGGACAATTGGATTTCTAATGCGTTTGCATTCACAATTGTTTGCCCAAAGCGTACCCGAAATAATTAATATAGAAGATCCGCGTGTTCTAAAACGGCTATCATGTTTAGCATTAGATAACACGTTTTAATCTGTCACGTTCTGTATGTGCCTGTCCCAAGTCAGGAGTTTATTTTTTTAATGGTATTTAGGTGGTCGTTACACATCATATTTTTTTTTATCCCTTTTGTTTTTTCCATGGTTTTCTCGTTTAAATTATTTCACACTTTGACATGCCTGGGCCTTGTATAGCTGACTGTACGGTATAAGTTTTGCTTAATGTTGGCCGTATGATGACCTATAGTTGCTAACATCTACGTCATTTTGTCTCTGGTGGATAATTGTATCATTGGCAATCATATCACATCTTCTTATTTTTGTATCATACTTTATTCGTCTATTATTTTTTTGTTAGAGAAGGATGTCAAGTAATTATCACTTTAAAATTTGATATGTTACAGTCACATTTGGCCAAAATTGTTCGGTAGTAGCAACGGTGAATCCTGTAGACGAGATTTATGTTTTGTATGAAGGTGGAAGCTTATCCAGTGCTTGTGATACCTTCCAGTTCAAGCATAATTCTTCGCTATGTATTACATCTCTGAAACACGACGACCCAGACTGTGCTGTCGAGTTACAATACTACATAAAAGCCGATAGTGGGACTCCAGAGAAGGTACTAATAGTTAATAGGTCGTTTTATAATGACAAGTTAAGATGTATGTTATATTTAATTTTTCTAATCGACAAAAATTCAAAATATCAGTTGAAACAAGTGAATAGATTAGATTTCTCTATTCTTTCAATCAATAATTTACAAAACAGTTATTAGGAAACAGGAAAATATATTATGTAAAATGCAAAAAAACAAATGATACAATAAATGCATTTTTCATAGAAAGTTACTTTACAAATGTTGACTTTTCCAAACAGTGTTCATTATGTTTTGTTTATATTTTTTTTTATCATCAATATAAAAATATATTATACTGTTATTTTTCTCCTCTATTGAGGCATATGATAAAAAGATTCCATATCGGATGTATTACATTTGGCGTCCGACGTCCGTAAACTTTTCATTTTTTGAACTTCTACTTGAGAACCACTTCAATATATTAAACTGTTATTTTTCTCCATTCTTGAAGCATATGATAAAAAGATCATAACACGTCGTTTTCATATCCGATGTATTATCAGCCCTCGGTCAAAATCAGCCCTCGAGCCTTCGGTTCTAGGGCTGATGTTGAACTTTTGGCTGATAATATATCTGATATGAAAAATGCCATCTAATAATCTGATATTATAATATTTTCGCATTGTTAACCATCTCATACTTTTTAGGTCTCAGGGGTATCTAAAAGATTTTGTTTTTTTTTATTTATATTTTTTTCATTTATCAATTTATTGTTGTATATATTGGTAAGATCTACAAGTTTTTGTTGAGCATGCGACTTTTGTCGCAGAAAGCTCGACATAGGGATAGTGATCCGGCAGCGGCGGCGGCGTTAGCTAACTTCTTAAAAGCTTTGTATTTTAGAAGGTGGAAGACCTGGATGCTTCATACTTTGTATATAGATGCCTTATATTACGAAGTTTCCGTCTGTCACATGTCCATTGTCCATGACCTCATTTTCATGGTTCAGTGACTACTTGAAAAAAAAAGTGAAGATTTTTTGTAATGTTAATTTCTCTTTTATAATGAGTAATAGGATAACTATATTTGGTATGTGCGTACCTTGCAAGATCCTCATGCCCGTCAGACAGTTTTCACTTGACCTCGACCTCATTTCATGGATCAGTGAGCAAGTTTAAGTTTTGGTAGTCAAGTCCATATCTCAGATACAAGAAGCAATAGGTCTAGCATATTCGGTGTATGGAAGGACTGTAAAGTGTACATGTCAAACTGGCAGGTGTCATCTGACCTTGACCTCATTTTCATGGTTCAGTGGTTATAGTTATATTTTTGTGTTTTGGTATGTTTTTCTTATACTGTATGCAATAGGTCTACTATATTTGGTGTATAGAATGATTGTAAGGTGTACATGTCTAGCTGGCAGGTGTCTTCTGATCTTAACCTCATTTTCATGGTTCAGTGGTCAATGTTAAATTTTTGAGTTTTGGTCTTTTTTTCTAATACTATATGCAATAGGTCAACTATATTTGGTGTATGGAAATATTTTATGATGTACATGTCAGTCTGGCCGGTTTTATTTGACCTTGACCTCATTTTCACGGTGTATAGCTCAGTGTTAGGTTTTTGTGTTTCGGTCTGTTTTTCTATTACTATAAGCAATAGGTCAACTATATCTGTTGTATGGAAGGATTGCAAGCTGTACATGTCTGCCTGGCATGGTTCATCTGACCTTGACCTCATTTTCATGGTTCATTAGTCAATGTTTAGTTTTCTTGGTTAAGTCTGTATCTTTGAAACTATAAGCAATAGGTCAACTATATTTAGTCTATTGAATGATAGTAAGGTGTACATGTATTTCTTGTTTGGTTTATATGACCTTGACCTCATTTTCTTAGATCATGTTAAGTTTATGTGATAGTTGTAGTAAAGCTTTATATTTAGAACTATCAACATAATATCAATGATTAGTAAAGAAGGGGAGACATTTCAGCGTGTGCACTCTTGTATAAGGAATTTGCCATATTATATTTCATCCATCTGTTTTACAGAGATATACCTGTACAAAAAGTCCAGATGAGGATGACTTCTGTGTAGATGAAAGTCAAACAATGTTTTTGAAGTTACAATCTCTATCCAACAATAGACAGAACGTAACCATCAAACTAAGAATAAAACTGATCCAGGTTGAAGGTAACATTTGAATACGGCATTCACAAAAAATAAACACTTTACGTGGATAACTATGGGATAGAAGCGCTCAATTCGGGATGAGAGTCTCGATTTTGCTAACAGCTATATATAAAAAAAAGAAATAAGATAGAATTAAAAAGCAGAAGTCTGAGAAGGACAGACAACACCATGATAAAAGAGATAGAATGACGTACCGACAAACAACAGTCCACAAAACACTAATAATTACTTACATACACTTCAATTGAACTTTAGCAATCATACCACATCTTATTTTTATATAGTAAACAAGTGTGGACACAGGTCAGTGTGGATAGTATGTATGAATGTTTGACAGTGTTTCATGTTGACATAGAGTTCTAAATATATTAAACTGTGTTGCACAATGACAGCTTTACTGAGCAAAACACCTACCGTTAGCAGTATTGTTTATTTAATACTTTGTTTTAATGTTCAAGACTGTCAAGGAGACATTAATTGCATTGATTACCAAAAGATTATGATAAAATATGTTCTACACCTTTGATTTTGGATACATTTGTAGCTAGGAGAGGAACACAAAGTTCATCTCTTCATGATGTGATTTTTTATATGGGAGATGATATTGGAGAACATGCATGCATGTACTATTTGTATGGTTATATTTATGTTTCTTTGTGGTGAATCCTCCCAGTACATCAGTAAAATATTTCGTTTAAATGTCAAAATTGTTTCTCAGATTAGAAGATATTTAATTGTCCGAATATGTTCTATTTATCTATAAAGTTATAGAATTTAAAATGAAAAAGGCATTGGAAAAATATTCTTGTTCCAAGATTTTTTTGTTATATGAATACAAATATTAGTGAAGCCAGTACAGTATTAAGCTAGTTTTGTTGTGGTATGAAAGAGCTGTTATTAACATTTACTGTTAATTCACACAAATTGACAAATTGACAAATGAATGATAGATGTTGAACAATGAAATATAATTTTAGAAATCAATTAGGGCAGATAGGTCCTTTTTTTTTACAATACTGAATGACATTTACATCTACTCAGGACTGTGTTATCAGTAGGCAATGCCGAAGTTTAAAAAAGTGTAACAAAATCACCTAGCATCATATTCATGTTCATGATATTGCTAGTAGCACGAGCAGTATTGTTTGGTAATTTGTGTATTTTTTTAATTTAGCTTCTAGACACAACATCTTTGGTTCAAACGTAAATAAAATGCATTAATATGTTTCTCCCATGACTACTTACATAGAATGGATACTTCAACAATTCCTTGTGCAGATTAGAGTTGTTTGTCAAATCTTTATTTCACAAAGAATGAATTGCATAACAATGAACTGAGCTCAAAGCAAAGCAATTAAATAATACACTTAGACAAAGAGCTCAATCCAGTGATATACTTTGTACTACAGGTCCTTCATGAATATCCACTTCTCACAAAAATGCCATACTACATGGATGGATCTGAAGTCCTGAAAAAAAAACCTTATTTTTTTTATCATATTTTCAGTATACATGTACGGTATAAATGGGGAACACCGGTTAAAACTTTCACAAAGTTGTGGTAAAATGATTCGGTACCTAAATTGCTTCATGCACAAATTGATATAGGCTGAGTACCCCTCTGTTTAATATAAGATCATACCTCCCCCTAATCATAGTAAACTGAAAAAAAAACATTCAAAACTACAAAATGTTATTAGACTGTCACTTATCAGTATAGCTATTTACCATCAAAACTGAATCAATAATATAAGACTCAGATTGATGTCCCTCTCTAATGTCCAAATGAAATAAGATTCCTAATCTACCACCAATAAAATACCCCTCTAATCATGCTAATGGACAGCTATTTGATGTTTTCAAATCAATGCCCCAAAATATTGGTTTCTCTAATTGACATCCTTTTTACACACTAGCCCAATGAAATCACAGTTTTCTTAAATGGTGGAACCTAAAACTCAAAAATTTATAAATGTTATATTTTAAATCTTGCAAATACATGTAATTACATATTTTTATTAGTACAATTCTTTTCAATAATTCGCTCTTTTTAGCTCACCTGGCCCAAAGGGCCAAGTGAGTTTTTCTCATCACTTGGCATCCGTCGTCATCATTAACTTTTACAAAAATCTTCTCTGAAACTACTGGGCCAAATTTAACCAAACTTGGCCACAATGATCATTGGGGTATCTAGTTTAAAAACTGTGTCAGGTGACCCGGCCAACTAACCAAGATGGCCGCCAAGGCTAAAAATAGAACATAGGGTTAAAATGAAGATTTTGGCTTATATCTCTGAAACCAAATTAAAGCATTTCGAGCAAATCTGACATGGGGTAAAATTGTTGATCAGGTCAAGATCTATCTGTCCTGAAATTTTCAGATGAATCAGACAACCCGTTGTTGTGTTGCTGCCCCTGAATTGGTAATTTTACGGAAATTTTGTTGTTTTTGGTTATTATCTTGAATATTATTATAGATAGAGATAAACTGTAAACAGCAACAATGTTCAGCAAAGTAAGATCTACAAATAAGTCAACATGAACAAAATGGTCAGTTGACCCCTTAAGGAGTTATTGCCCTTTATAAGCAAAGTGGCGTTGATTTCTGGATATGCAGTATTATCAACAAGGAAATGGGTACGGCATGTTGTTGTATACAACAAGGTGCATATTCGATATTCCATTACAGTCATCCAAATCAGTGTGACGTCCGTACAACTTTCTACGTTAACCACTAGAAAAGCTTGTTTCAGTAGATTTTATAAAGAAAATCCTAATAAGAAACAAAAGCTCTGACAAATGATATCATCTTGGGTTAACATATGAATATAGTTGTCATGGACTGTCTCATACATCGTTAATTAATCGTAGCCATAATTCTCGTTAGTGCATCATCAAATACGACTTATCAACAGATTTATACTTTTATGATCCGTAAGTGCTACTTGGGATAACTGCTTACTAAGCATATAAATAGTATACCGCTGTTCAAAAGTCATAAATCGATTAAGAGAAAACAAATCCGGGTTACGAACTACGAACTTTGTGTAGTTTATAATGCTCATTCTTTGGTTGTGTGTGGAGTGTTTTGTTTATTTTTTCGTTTTTTTTTTTTGTTTTTTTTTTGTTGATTTTTTTTCTCAATATTTTGAATGTGTTTGTTATTTGACAATCGTCTTTTGGATTGATCTTATTATTTGATGCAAAGTACCGTATTTGGTGTTAAAATCTGTGTTCAAAGATAATATTACTAGTACCATGCGTAGATATATATATATATATATATATATATATGAATCTATAAGTCATTCTATCATTGATGTAAGACTGAATACACTTAAAGAGTTTTTTTGTTGTTTCTTCTTTTTCTTCTTCTTTATATTAACTAATTTTAATTACATTTATAGATGCCGAAACTAAGTGGTACATATTCATCATATTGGCTTCTGTGTTCATCTTGGCAGTGATCGTCATCGTTGTGCTTTGTAGACTTGCTATCTACGGATTAACTCGGAAATCCAGATCTCCTGGACGAACATACAATGCAGGAGCAGGTAAGGTATTTCGGCGTATGATCATACTCTGTATCCCGATAGAACATACACGTTAGGAATTTGGGTGTTTGATCGTACTCTGAATTCCGATAGAACATACAGGTAAGGAATTTGGCCATATGATCGTACTCTATATTCCTATAGAACATACTGGTAAGTAATTTTGGGTGTTTGGTCGTATTCTGTATTCCGATAGAACATACAGGTAAGGAATTTGGCCACACGATCGTACTCTATATTCCTATAGAACATACAGGTAAGGAATTTGGTCATACGATCGTACTCTATATTCCTATAGAACATACAGGTAAGTAATTTTGGGTGTTTGGTCGTATTCTGTTTTCCGACAGAACATACAGGTAAGGAATTTGGCCATACGATCGTACTTTATATTCCTATAGAACATACAGGTAAGGAATTTGGGTGTTTGATCGTACTCTGAATTCCAAAAGAACATACAAGTAAGGAATTTGGCCATACGATCGTACTCTATATTTCTAAGGAATTTGGCCATACGATTGTACTCTATATTTATATAGAACTTACACGTAAGGAGTTTGGGTGTTTGATCGTACTCTGAATTCCAAAAGAACATACAGGTAAGGAATTTGGCCATACGATCGTACTCTATATTTCTATAGAACATACAGGTAAGTAATTTTGGTTGTTTGGTCGTATTCTGTTTTCCGATAGAACATACAGGTAAGGAATTTGGCCATACGATCGTCCTCTATATTCCTATAGAACATACAGGTAAGGAATTTGGGTGTTTGATCGTACTCTGTATTCAGATAGAACATACAGGTAAGGTATTTGGGCGTTTGATCGTACTCTGTATTCAGATAGAACATACAGGTAAGGTATTTGGGCGTTTGATCGTACTCTGTATTCCGATAGAATATACAGGTAAGGTATTTGGGCGTTTGATCATACTATGTATTCCGACAGACCAAGTAGGTGACATAACAAAGTAGCGTAAACCACTAATACAGCATACTGTTTTCAAATGCTGTACAACATAACCGATATGTGTATGATTGCAATTGAGACACTGTGATAATTAATCATCAAGAAGGGACGTGACATAGAATAGCTAGGCATTTACCATATAATAGCCAAACCACTGTTATGTGAAGCTATATAATCCTAAAATAAGTCGGTAACATTTAATAAAATAATAACATATAAAGGAAATTACTAGATTAAAGACCTATGTTCTTCATTCAACTGAATAGTTTAAGTGAGTAACATCTTACCGGAAAGAAATTTGTTTACCCCTCCCCTATCTTCACCAACCCAACAGCCATAATATCATGCTGGCTTAACTGAAATCTGTAGAAATAATTACTTTAATAGACTATATTAGTTTTAAATTTTATAAGACCATTGTAGTGGACAATACAAACCATAGGTTGAATACACTGCCTTTCATTTGAAACTTGCCTTTGAAAGAAGCCCTCCATCTAATCGAGCCTTAAACCCAGACTTCACATATCACTTGACTGACGTCATACATACCAGAGTTGTATCTGATCTATCATGTTTGTACAAGATCCAATTGAATACGAAGTACAACTATTTTATGTCTGTTGTTGTTTTTTTTCATTGCAATATTTCCCAAAACCCTTCTTGTTTTACAAAAAAGAAATGCCGTTTACAGTGAAGATAAATCTACAAATATATCATTTGCTTTTTGTATGTTTTTTTGTTGTGCATTTACTGATTTTGTGTCATGAATGGATACCCCATATCCTTTGTTTTTGTCTCGCCTTGACGGAGTCAAAAAGCGAGACATAGGAATGCTGTTTCCGGCGTCGACGGCGACGGCGGCGGCGTCAACAATGTATTAGTTTGTGATTAGGTCTAGTTCATGGTGAACCACTAGTGGTAGGGCAATGATATTTGGTATGCAGCTGTATTAGCATTGGCACATCTCATTACCATGGAGATTATTTGGCCCCGCTCCCTCAGTCAAGGTCTATTGACTTTGAAACTTTTCATAGTTTACATGTATTAGTTTGTGATTAGGTCAATTTATGGGGAACCACTGAGTGGTAGGTCTATGATATTTGGTATGCAGTTGTATTAGCATTGGCACATCTCATTCCATGGAGATTGTTAAGCCATGAAACTTCAGTCATGGTTCATCGACTTAGAATATTTGCATAACTTACATGTCAAACTATTGCTATTTTAATTTCAACATTTGCATTATCAAAAGTACAAAAAGGCGAGACATAACTCTGTGATAACAGTTTTATTCAAATATACCACGCAAACGGAAAAAAATTATGAAATCCAACCATTTATTTACATATAGTTCTAAATCCAATACAGATTATCTATTATAAATGTCAAAGTAGTACTAGGTTCAAGTTACCCTAATTTTTGGCACTTCTTTGTATTTTAGTACAGAGCGTTAAATATTTCTGATTGATTGATTGGTGGTTGGTTAACGTCCAGTGGCAAATATTTCATGCATGTTTAGGACGAGATATTTGTGAAAAATTTTGAAGTTTTATTATTGTATACTCCGAAGGATTCAAGTATTTTGAAGAAAAGTATGTGTTTTCCAATGTCTTTCTGGAAATTATTGATGTTTATCTCTAAAATATCTAACAATGTTCTGGAGTTCGCCGTATTCAAATAACTGAAAGTCTTTGAACAATTATTGTTTTTTGCTATTTTTATTGATTGCAACGTTTCATTTTGTTATTATGCTTCAGGTTTTAAAAAGTGTCTTTACGTTGTTATGTTTCTAGTATTTTACAATATTTTGGCATTACCGGTTTGTCTCAAAATAATATGCAAATTATGACTTTAGTCCTCTCTATTATGTTACCGGTAGTTCCTATCGAATATACCCTCCTCTTTCAGTGGCATTCTAAATTACTTGCCAATCATCCCGCTCGAACTCTTATTGCAGAACTTACCTATTACATTTTCTAATGTCAGGTTTATTTATTTATTTCGCCTAGTCCTAAGGGTCAGTGCGAAATATTGACATCTCTTGGCGCACGTCCGCCCGTCCGTCGTTATTCGTTCGTAGAAATTTGATAATTATTCTTACCAGAACTTGCATAGATGGAACCATTTATTCTAAAGATACACATCAATCAACTGGCATACTTGGAGAGAAGAAAATGGGAGTAGAACAGACATATTGGTCATTCATTGCTGTCTCTGTATTTTTTGTGTGTATAAATAGTTATTACAGATCCTATACATGTATCCAAATTTTCTAAACCCAAGGGTTGACTGGGGTATAGAAATAGAGCCATCCTTTGATCTTCTTCCGATCGTCAGTAAAACCTAGACAAAGTGAGGCGTCCGTTTGGCTATGTGGGATGTTCATATTTGCAGCCACGTCCAGTTAGAATGTGGAGGTTGAATCCGATGCATTGTGTAGAAAGTGTGTTGCGCTCTCTGTATGTTAAATTCCTTGCAGCAACTCTTTGAGGGGTCCGTAGATGACCTTTCTCATGGCTTACTTTCTGTCCCTATCGAACATATCCTTTTTTTTCAGTGGCATTCTATATTTCTCGCCAATCATCCCGATTTACCCCTTATTGAACGACTTACCTATTGTATTGATTGTTAATTTGTTCTTGTTCTGAACACGCATCCGATATTTGCCACTGGACGTTTAATAAACAACAATCAATCAATAAATTCGAATCTTCGACTGACGTTTGAATGTAGTAATAATTGAGGACAGATATAGCTTTTAAATATCTAAATGCTACGCTATTGTTTAATTTTGTGAGCTTGAATGATCTTGAAAAAAGAGATTTACTGCGATCGTATTCAAGCTAAGCCATTTATAATGTAATTCTCTAAGTTAGGTTTCCATAACACTTGTTTAGAAATTATTGTAAAAAGGTAAATATAGCCATTTTATTTTTCTGTACGTTTTTGACATTTTCTTCTTAAAATGTCCTGTACCAAGTCAGGAATATGGCAGTTGTATATCAAATAGTCCGTTTTTATGTATGTTGGCGTTTGTTTTTGTAGCAGTTCAGTGTTTCTGTTGTTCCGTTGTTTTTCTCTTATTGTTGATGTGTTTCCCTCGGTTTTTGTTTGTGACCCGGATTTGTTTTCGCTTAATCGATTAATGACTATTTAACAGCGGTAAACTACTGTTGCCTTCATTTGATGGATGCATGTTATTGTCATAATATTCTGTAACAAAATATAATATGAGTGAAAGTAGTAGTAGCTGTAAGGCGTCATCTAGACAGCAAACCAGAGACAATGAAATAAAGAAATCTTTTAAGGACAGCAATCTTCAACAAAAGACTCTTCCAAGGGTAATAATGTGAGACTAAGTTTGACTTAAACTGTTATAGATCTATCAAATACTGATATAAACAAAACCGGTGAAGTTCCTGGCGTGGATTGGTCACATTGTAATGTTACTAATTTAAACTTGTATTGTTATCTTTACAGCATCAGCAATGAATATGCCATCAAATGAAGCCTACCCAACACAAACATCTGGGCAACAAACAACGAACTTTTCTTATGAAGCAGCCGGCTATAATCCCTCCAGTAAAACAGGGAATTATTCAACACCACAGGATTTTTCTGCTTTTACATACAATAATCCCGTCTCGTCAAACTCGTCGTGAAACACATCCGACTCTTCATGAGATACATACGACACTGACTACTTACGATAAGTTTCTGAAAACTTTGTCGGGAAATAAGTGAAATAACATTATCTTTTTACTAAGATCTAACAAAGACTTTTACTGGACAGTATTAAAGTTAATATAATGTCTTTATCATTCTTATATTACATAAAAAGTAAATAGATGTTTGAGTAAATTAACAGCAGTTTTACATCTGTATATGAAAAAAGCTCATTAAAGACACGAGGCCTAAAATTTTGTACGCCAGACGCGCGTTTCGTCTACAAAAGACTCATCAGTGTCGCTCTATATCAAAAGAGTTAAAAGGCTAAATAAGTAGAAAGTTGAAAAGCACCGAGGACAAGAAATTCCGAACAGTTTTGCCAAATACAGCTGATATATTCCTAGATAGAAATGTAACGTACAAAGAAACGGTAGTTTGATTGGTTTCCCCTGTCCGGAAATCTTTGGAGCAGATTTTTTGGTTTTTTTTCTTTTGTTTAGTAGGGTTTTTATATTTTTTTAATGTTGTTTTGTATTTTTTTTTTTTTTTTTTTTTTTTTTGTTATTTGTTTTGTTTTTTGTTTTGTTTGTTTGTTTGTTATTTGTTTGGTTTATTTGTTTTATTTTGTTGATGTTTTGGGGTGTTACTAGCGCTATATATTTGCTATTTTTACTGTTTATTATTGTACTTTATCTAATTTACGAAATCTATTTTATATTAGAATGTAGTAATTTAATTTGATAACTACTACAATCAGCGTCGTCATGAAAGATAGTGATCGATGAAGATAAACCATTGAAAAAACTCTAAAATATTTGTGATTATACATAGCAATCCTCAGTAGTTCCAGTTACCGATATATAAAATAAAATAATGTTTCTTTGTGTGTATGACTCTTTTTTGCTATACTGAAGACTAAATAAAGTGTCATTTTTTGGTGTTTTGTTAATCATTTTTGTGTTTTATCATTGACAAATGTCATTTTGTGTTTTTATAAATCAGAGTTCAAACTTTTCTAGAAGGTTCTTATTGTATGTTTTCAGTTAAATGTCCGAGATCGTCTGTTTGTACTTCTTTAAACATTAGTTTGCACGTTTTTTAACAGACATTTTATTTCAAACCTTTGGTATTAATTTTGCTTCTTTACATGGTTCTTTTGTTATACAGTTGTTGCTAATTAACAACACTGTCACAATTCAATCCAATATTAGTATATTAGAATAATCAAGCAACAAAATTGTTTGAATGTTGGTTTGCTCTACTGATATCGTTATGTGTCTCATGTACTCCGTCTAAAAATGATCATTCAGTAACAGTGCAACCATATAGAAGTCTATGTGAGAAATTGATAACCTCGTCATTTATTTCTGAAACTCGTGTACTAGTGTGTTTAATCTTGTACTTTTAAAAACAATTGAAAGTCAAGTCTCGAATCCAATAATATAGGGTTATTGTAACGCAAACCTTGAAAAACTGTTTAAAACATATTTTTGTCATTGATGATGTCGATAATTTGAAGATATATTTGTACTAATGCAATATGATAGAATAATGCTCTCGAACTTTTCGTTACGGTAAGTTGGAATTATCATGTTGCTTTACAATAATCTAGTTTATTTTACAAACTCTTCTAATAATATAGTACAACCAAGTTATTGAACTGTCAAATAAATTTCTCTCGTCCTAAATCCTTATTGCACATCCAACAGATGCCCCTCCCCACTCCCCAAATAAATCCAAGAACAACAAAAGATTTTAACATTTTGAAGCATTTAGATAATGTACTGTATGTCTTACAACACATATGTTAGGTAAAACCCTCAAATAATATTTCATTTAAACAGTAGAACACATTTGTTTTATATATCAGTAAGATACCAGTACAACATATTAGCTTTATGACTGACGTCTTTCGATTTCGGTCTTACAACATCTGTATTGGATAAATTCTTCAAATAACAATTCAACCAAATACTAGTAATAAAAAGTCATAAGAGATCCCAGGCTTATAATAAATACACCAGACGCGTATTTCGTCTTCACAAAATTCATCAGTGCAATGGTGCTCGAATCAAAACAGTAAGGAGCCAAATCAGTTACGAAGTTCAAATATTCAAAACCAAAAATTACAAAAAAGTGTACCAAATCTGGCTATGGCAATACATTTCATAGGGTTAATAGGGTTACAAAATTTTTTTTAAATGGCTTTAACATTTTGCTGGTGAATAATAAACTTATAGAAAATGTCCACATCAATTCATGTCAGGACAGGAGTGCTGACTACAGAGTTGGTAATAAACTCGAAGGCAAACGTCCATATACAGTGGCTTTGACCCAGTAGTTATAAAAAGAAATCATCTATAGCAGTCGTATGATCAAGTTTTCAAGTTTCGTGACGTTGATCCATTCATGTGACGCGCAGTTTATATTTCGTTTGTGGTGTCCTGGTGCGCTGTCGTAAATACATGGGAGATGTCCGTTGTTATTCTGCGGTTTACATGTTTTAATGTACTATTATATTATTTATTTATGTATTTCTCTGTGCTGAGTGTTCTTGCGTTTGTTTGTAATGTACTCCTGTCACGAAGTGTTTTCCTTTTAGCGGTATTTTTAACATTGTCTATAAGCGAGAGGTTTGGCTAGCCATAAAACCGGGTTCAATCCACCATTTTTTCTTAAAATGTCCTGTACCAAGTCAGGAATATGGCAGTTGTTATCTACAGTCCATTTCTATGTATGTTGGCGTTTGCTTTTGTTGTAGTTCAGTGTTTCTGTTGTTCCGCTGTTTTCCTCTTATAGTTGATGTGTTTCCCTCGGTTTTAGTTTGTTACCCGGATTTGTTTTTGCTTAATCGAATTATGACTATTGAACAGCGGTGTACTACTGTTGCCTTTATTTACAAGGCGCGTGTTTCGTTTTACTTGTAAGACACATCTGCGGCTCTCGAGTTGACAGATGATATGCCAGTCAATTACAAAATACTCGAAGTAAAAGTTTTTTAAAGATTAATGCCTGTTATAATATATCAACAAAACGTCATATAACAAACTTGTCAACTGCCTAACCGTTACGAAATAAAAACAGTTCATTTGTCTTTCCACTTCAGGTTACTTTAGTTTATAATTGTTAAGGATGCACTGTTTCATTTCAAAACGGAAATAACTCAAAAACTCGTATCTTACAACAATCTTCTTTATTTTTATTTGGCTTTTCATCTAGAATTATTCGCAATCAAATTTTCAAGACATAATTTTAATGCAGGGTAAACGCGTTACTTACTCAACTACGTTGAATGGTCATCAGTTATAAAATGACATGTTATATTACAACGAATAACCAAATTTAAGTAGAAAAACTAAAATAACAATTATTAGACTATATGTGTTGTCGACGATGAAGGGGCCCCCTTGCAAAAATGGTTTAATTTGTTCTGTTTCCTGTCTCGAATAAGATGATAGACCCTGTGTTATGTTGCAGTTGTTCCATAATGGCAGAAACTTGTTGAAAACATGTCTATTCACTGTGACGTAACACATGTAACATGACGTGTAATTTGAGTTTTTGTATCTTATATAAAAGTATCAAGTAGCATTTTTACATCAATAGTTTTGCATGTAAAAATAAAAAAAAAACACAACAAAAACACATGCTGTAAGTATTGTATATCTTGTAGTTAAAATAATAAATTTATAACAAATTTTAAAAGCAGCTAATACTTGTCCCAAACGTTTCGATGCATTCGAAAAATCAAAATAAGATAACATTATACGACCGTTAGAAACAAGACTTTATGGCACTTTTCAATATAAATGCTGTTATTTTTCTATTTGTCTTTAAAAGAAAATGTTCCTTGTATAATCAAAGCACTTTAAAATATACAATGATTTTATATTCTTTGTCTAACGATACCTCTGTCCAGAAATCGTCAATTTAAACAGAAATTATTACACTCACCAAAATATTCATTAAGATATTTATTAATTCCATATCTTGCGTACTTGATATTTTTTATAAGGAGGTGATACGATAGAAAGTGTCCGATATCAAAATTGAGTAAATACTGTACACTCGCCTTAAAACTTTATCAATCTTATATTATTTGATCCTCCTAAATTCAAAAAATAAGACAAGCAGACCTGAAACCTAAAAAATGGTTTTAGTGGTGTTTGAGTTTCCTTATTGGAAACATTATTTATTCTTTGTCTCACAAGCAAAGAAGAAATAAGTCATCAATGATACCAGGATTACAATATACTTTTTTAGACGCACGTTTCGGCTACCAAAGACTCACCAGTACCGCTCAGGAAAAATACAAGATAACAAGTAGAAGGTTAAATTTTATTAAAAATAAGAAAATTCCAAACATGTAGTTCAAAATCTGGCTAATGCCATATATGCTTGCTGGTAGACAAAATATATAGATATAGATGTTTAGAGCAACTTGCTAATTCTTAAAGACATTGATTTCCACGTTGGTATTCGGTTATGTTTCAAGCTTAGATCATTTACTGTTTTCTGTCTTTTGGTCGTTTTTCGTTGTTTTTCCATAGTGTTATCAGTTTGTCATCGATTTATGAGTTTGGATATTCCTTTGGTATCTTCAATCTCTCTTAAACATGGGTCTGCGGTTCGTGAATTTGATTATCGTTTGGGGTTAGACATAAGACATTTATCAATCTACTATAGTATGACACAAAAACTGCTCCAACAGATATATGAGGAAGAACGACTGAAATCGACACCAAAATAAGTTGTCGGTTTCACCGACACGATTTGTCGGTGTTTCAACTCACTAGTGATATGTTTTAGCGGTTTTCGATAAGTAGATATCATAATAATCGTCTGATCTGTATATTTAGCGATTGCATCCTATTCCCGATTGTGGCATTTTGACTGAATGTGCATTTGCATGACAGGTCATGCATACATAGCAACAGATGTTTACCCTGCCGACTACACGGTCTTGATCCATTTGGAGTTCATGAAAGGATTTATTAAATTTGAACATGGGTGACATGTTCTAATCAATCTCACAGAAGTGTTAAATGGTGGCGTCTAAATTAGAGTTAATATCTTATTGGAGTCATATCAAGAGAGTGCTATTAGGGTACCCTGGTTATTATCCTAGCTTTAGATGCTGCGTAGATTCATAAAATTGTAAAAATAACAATACTGTTTCAAGATTGACTTCAACAGCAATGTATAGAACTGGATATTTTTTTTCGATATTTTGGATGTATATAAGAATTGTTCAAAAATATTTTAGCTATTTGAGAATTTTCAATATCAATATTCCGCTACATTTCAACAGCTTTCCGGACAAGGTTTCACTATTGGCCAAATATGACCTTGAATTTCAACTTTATCATAACATATAAAATAAATATATTATTTATGGTAAAATTGGACCAAAACTGACGTTACAACACAAATAATTCATAATTAAGGGATCTCTACTTCGTAACTTATGATTTGATGTGCCAAAAAGAATTTATATTGTTTTAATAGTAATTTCACCAATATATTTTTTGTGAAATTTGTAACGTCACAGTACCCAGTCACCGGGTACCCAGTTTGCAACCATTTTGCCCCAAAAAGCAATGGAAATTTTACAGGTTTTCTAATGTTTTCTATGAGACTAAACGATTCATATTTTTACAATTTGCCATAATGCACGTTTTTCAACATAGTTAGATACATTGAAATACGCACAAGATGCTCACATTATATATGTTAACAAATGAAGTATTTAGTTAAGAAAAATCTACTGAAACGTCGCCTTTAATGAGCAGTTACAGTATGTCACAGGCATCCATTTCTTACAACATGCATAGTAGGCATTGGTGTTTGACAAATTGTGAAGAAATAAAACAAAACATCAGTTATTCGATTTCTACATAAGTGGGGTTGAGCATGTATGAAATTTATGTACTCCTCATTACAGAATCTTTG